GGAAGTGCAAGAATAGAACTGAAGAGGCAAGCAAGCACCCTCAGCCAGGAGAGGGGAGGGGAACATGACAGCCCAAATGGCAGCTGTTGCCTCAGCCCAGGACAAGCAGTGCTAGGCTGGTGGCTGCGTGGGGAGGCAGCTCTGCTTTGGAAACCCCAGGGGCAAATCTTCCCCTGCAGCCTCCCTTGCAGAGCTAGACAAAATGGGCCAGAACTCTTACTTTTAAATATTAGTTCTCAGTCATGGCAGCACAGCCATGCAGTGCTTCCCTTTGGGAGCACATCCGTCGGTCCCGGGGCACGCGGCTCATCCTAGCCTGCCCTCAACAAGTGTCTCCTAGATGGAATACCCAAGGCAGACTCCTGCAGAGCTGATGTAATGATTGATTTTGTGGGAGTAAAGTCAAGCTGGGGGGTTGTGACATTGGACAGAATGGGCAAGAAACCTGCCCAGTAAGGTCATTTTGATCCTCAGCACCAGGGTTTGTTCCAGGATATCGATCAGACATTCCTGTACAACACTCTGAGATTCATTGATTCCTCTCCTTTGTTTTTCCCCAGTTTCTAAAAATCATCCTTCCAGCCTTTGAACAGTGTAGGGAGAGATGGAGAGTTCAGCCAAGCTGAATGATCCATGGGTTTGGGCCTTAAATAGACTTCTTCATTTAGCTGTTTGGTGTGGTGTTTTTAGAAAACAGGATAGTGCAAAACAAGACTGTTCTTAAACCTACTGTGAACAGTATGTTTACGACATCACACAAAAAGGGGTGTTAAATCTTTTCCCCAGGATCACAAAGAAAACAGCACTGATCAATGCACTGAGAAGTTAAACTGGCCCAGAATATTTCAGTCTCTAAATCAAGTAAAAATAATGAGGCAGATTGTTCTCGTTCAGCCCTTCCAGAAGCAGCACAGAAAAGATGTGCTAGCAACACAGATGAGAGTGCTTCTGCAAGAAGGTTTTCACCTCGATCACACCTGATACAAATCCATTATCCAGACTTGTTGCCTCTGTTGGCTGCAGGGTCAGACTCACAAAATGCCAAACACTATTTGTTATTCTGGGCCAGAATAACTGCATAAACTTTTTCAGGCAGCCCACGCTGCAGTTCCAGTCACCAAACTCTTGCTCTTGGCACTGGTCAGACTTTAGGGAGACACAAGAGCTGAGTTATGAGTACCAGAGGGGAAAAAATTGTATGCTGGGGAGGCAGCAGCAAGCAAAGGTCTGGATTTCTTGTTGGTGGTCACTGCACATCACTAGGAAACATCAGATCATATATTTTAACCCAGTTTTCCTAATCCATATAGCTATTTCCCAGATGAAGTGTGCAAACACAGAATCTCCTTGGGATGCAGCATGGTCTTCAGTGCATGTTTCAGGAAGAACAGTATTCCCCTTGACACTAAAGACCTAGTGAAATTGGCTAGCAAAAGAGTTATCTCTCACATGATTTTACAAGGCAAAAGAAATCTTCATTCTTTTAACCATATCCCCTAAGCTTCTATGGGAATTAAATCCCAGATCCTGCCTCATGAACCCTTGGCAGAAGGGAGGGGAGAAGGAAGGGCAGAAGGTCAGAGCTGACATCTTGACTCCCGAGGAAGGCTTAAGAGTGCCCAAATAACATGGCAGGAGCTGACTATAGCAGAAAGGGCATCTTCTTACTCCTTTGCACTTTTAACACACTTGACACAAAAAAATAACCATTAAGTGCTTAAATTCCCCTTATTTGTAAAGGGCTGATCTCCACTGGAGGTGGTTGGTACAGCAACACCTGCTACAGCAGAAAACCAGACAAAATGGTTCCTTGTCTCCTTAAAAAATACTCAGAGCTAGTAACAGACTAATAAGTGAATTAATTTTACATCCAAAACTGCTGAAGAGTCAAGATGTAGCACTGTTTTGGGAAAGGGGAAGGCTGACACCTCCCTATGACATATGCAGGCCAGAAAGCTCTTCCAAATGCAGGTCCCCTGAAGCTGGTGTGAACTTTCAGGCCTCACCAAATCACAGCCTACTCACATCCCACACAATACTGATCTGGATTTAGTAGAATCATAGAATCCCAGACTGGTTTGGGTTGGAAGGGACCTTAAAGCCCATGCAGTTCCAACCCCCTGCTATGGAAAGGGACACCTTCCACTAAACTAGGTTGCTCCAGCTCCATCCAACCTGGCCTTGAACACTCCAGGGATGGGATTTGTCGAAGAAGGACAGAGGCTACAACAGACACACAGCAAAGGCCACTCCATATCCCAAGAGCATAAAAAACAGAGCCAACACCTATTCCGGCCTCCCTCTATCCCACTCATTTCTTTTGAACCCTTCTTTGCTCCCCAGTTTTTGGACAGAAAACAGGCACGGTGGAAATAAGCATCAGTGAGAATAAACACAGGAACATCTCAGTTCATTGACACTCTTGAGTGTCAGCAGTGATTCATTATAGCAGTAAAAAGAAGAAAGTCACTCACCCTCACGAAGCTGGCGGGAAACCATCCTTCTTCATCATCGATCTGACCCCACCACCAGTCCTTGTTGGAAGCATCCAGGACCTTGATAACGTCTCCTGCTTTAAACGCCAACTCCCGGTTGGCCATGGTGACGTGATCCCATACTGCCTCAGCACTTACAATGGAACCACCACTGATCAGCTTGGGAAACAGAAAAACACAGTCAATAAACGCTCGGATCCCCGACACATGCACATGCACATCAGCAGCACACCACAAAGCACTCAGCCAACGTAGAACAACTTTCCTTCATTCCAATCCTTGGCAATTCCACTCTCAACACCATGTCATCGTCTCTCTGCCATTCCCACAGCCCACCATCCTGCTCCCAACCATGCCACAGAAGCGAGCTCCACGTGCGATATCCAGTACCTCTCAGGTCCTGGCCCTACACATGGGACAGCAGCACCTCCTTCCCACTGCCACGCTGTGTTAGGAGCATGCACATCTGCCAGGTACATGGCTTTCAGGAAAAATTCCATTAGCATCATGTATAATTCCCAAAAATGGCAAAACAACATATGTCTTTTGAGGAACAGCTGAGGGTTTGTTCAATCTCGATACGAGGCAGCTCAGGGGTGACCTCATGGCTCTCTACAACTACCTGAAAGTGGGTTGTAGAGAAGTGGGAGATGGTCTGTCCCACATCTGCCAGGTACATGGCTTTCAGGAAAAATTCCATTAGCATCATGTATAATTCCCAAAAATGGCAAAACAACATATGTCTTTTGAGGAACAGCTGAGGGTTTGTTCAATCTCGATACGAGGCAGCTCAGGGGTGACCTCATGGCTCTCTACAACTACCTGAAAGTGGGTTGTAGAGAAGTGGGAGATGGTCTGTCCTGCCTGCAGTGACTGGAGGGAAGGGAACAGCCATAAACTGAGACAGGAGTGATTCAGATTAGGTATTAGGTATTAGGGTGGTCAGGCACTGGAATATTGCCCAGGGAGGTGGTAGAGTTACCATCCCCAGAAGTGTTTACGAGGCATCTGGATGGACCTGGTGCTGCAAGATATGGTTTAGGGTTTAGGGATCACACCAGAGTGACAGGTTAACGGTTGGACTTGATGCTCTTAGAGGTCTCTTCCAGCTTTGATGATTCTATGGTCCTAAAACCAAGTGATGGTAGATGGCAAAGGAATTTTCACCTCAGAGCAAGTTTGGTCAGTTGCAGTGTCAGAGGCTCTGAAAGCTTTCCATGTAAATCCAAGCAAAGGTAATGAACACATTTAAAAGAACACTTTTTTCTTGAAACTACAAGTTCCCTTGCTTTTGACACCTTCAAGCTACCCAGCAGCTGGGAGGGCATGGTGGCACCCTGCTGCCCTACCTCAGACCTGACCTGGAGCACAGCCCAGCTCACGACATGCTCAGACCTCATTCTGCCCATAGGAAACCTGCTGGCACTGGCTGTTGTGCCAGTCTGCACGGTGCAGATACCTGCCTGCTGGAAACTGGACTGAGGCCAGACTGGTGTCTGACAGGACCTACAGAACACTGCTCCATATGGAGCATGCAGTGCCCTAGAGCTAGGCCAGCACCGTTGCACTGACCAGTTCTCCTTCCCTGAAAGCCACGGAGTTTGACAGATATAAAAGTCCTGCTTAATGCTGGCAGGAAGGACTCATGTGAACACTGACGCTCGTGCTTCCACAAGACAAACCATCCATCCATGCCCGGGACACCCACTGCTCCTCTGAATGACAGTTGTGTATTTTTTAACAGAGTAATAAATTGTGTTTATGTTTAGACCACTGCAGGAACTCTGCACTGAGCAGTGAGGCTGCCCTGGCAAATACAGCCTTTACCCATATGCTTATTAGCTTGTCAGAGCCATCCTGAACCTCGTTCATTAATTCTGCCACTGAGGCACCCCGAACATGGACTTGGGCTCACCTCCAAATCACAGTTTCAGCTCACAAACACAGAGCTCAGTGCTGTGACCATTCCAGACTTTCCACACGGCGAGACTCTAACAGCCACAGTGTCCTCTCGCTTTCAGCAGGGAACACAAAGCACACAGACAATAACCCATCACAGCTGTTATGCAAGTGTGGAAGTGCTGGCAAGGGTTAGAGAGCTCTTAATGGGTCTTTTCCAAGTCTGGCCTTCCAAACGCCTGCTAATCACTACCTGCACAGTGAGAAGTTGCAGGAAACCTTCTAGCACTGCTGCAGGGAACCTTCTAGCACTCGGAATACACACAGAGGAACATACGAGGTCCTACAGGCAATCCAGTCAACAGATTAAAGGACCTAATTTATCACTTGCCTTGAACTGGCTTTCCTTTAAGAAACTGAGCTCTTTTTGTTTGGGACAATTACAGCTGCAGTTCCAGCTCTTCAGTTATTAGAGGCAGTTGTACACAAATCAACAAGATCTATGAAGACCTAACCTGGCAATGCCTTTCCTCCTCAAAACCCAGATGGATCTAGTCACTGGGCCTCTCTTGTACCTGCAGCAAAGTAAAACAAAGTTCCTCTTATTTCCATTGAGAAACTGTACTTTCTAATTCAAAATCAGCTGTAAAAGAAACATGGCCCCTTTGTGTATCATACAGGGGAATTGCATCCATATGCCCCACAGAATCCCCCAACTGCAGACAGAAAGCCAAGGCACATATGAATAACAAGCTCTTGTCCAAGAGTCAAGCAACAGACCCAATCGACGGCTGAACTCATGGCAGTGGCATCTCCTGCTTTTGCGTGGGCTTGTCTCACATCTGGGCTTTTGATACAGAGCTGGAAGGAGCTGGGCACCAGAGGGACCCTTACAAATAAGAGGCAGCTGGATGGAGTCAGATGGTGATAGACCTCAGTTCACTCCAGCTCTGGGCCCCCACTCAACAGCGTAGAGTAGCTTTGTCTGGAAAAATAACAGTTATAAAGACTGATTTCTGTTTCCAGCACAACATCCGAATGCTCAGCCCAGGTGGTGACATGTTTCAGTGCTTCCTCACAACCCCTTGCTCTGCTCTAAATCAACGTTCCTGGATACACTCATAAACATGAATCAGTTTAAACACAAAGAACCCCAAGCCAGATCTTGATAGGACAAAGACTTCACAGCTGAAGAAATCCCCTCAGTATATTCAAGCCTAGTTAACAGTCATCTGTTGTTCTGCCAGGACTGAGCTCTTCTCCTTCACAAGTGCGTCCCCTCTGCCGTATTTATGCACACCGTCCAGGTGTGGTTTCCCAGGCTAAGCAAGTTCTGCTCTGCCATTCTTGTCTTAGCCCACACCTCTTCCTTCCCCTGGGCATTTCACCAGCCCTTTTAGGCATCCAGATACTTTCCCTGCAACTTCCTTGAACACAAATGACCAGAACTGTAAATGCTATTCCCAAAGAGACCTTACCAGAGATTTGTGAAACATCATGAAATATTTATTCCAGTGTCAGAGAAATCTTGCAGTAATACCTAACATCTCCCCCTTTCTCCATGGCCACCTCCCACTCATGGCTCACTGTGATCTTGCATTCCTCTTATCTAAGTAAATGCAGTAGAGTACATGCTCTTTGGCTAGAAATCAGTTTTCTTGTCAAAAAATGAATCGGGTTGGCCTGACACTTGTTCCTTTTGTTAATGCCATTGGGTATTTTAGTCCATTTTTCACTGATGATGAACCAGGAACAGAGCTATTACGCAGGAGCTGTGTTCCTGCTGTTTCTGCTTCAGCTGACATAGACTTTGCTGTCACTTCACACACAGGCAGTTCTGGGCACAAACTGCCACAGAAACGTCACTGAAACCAAACTTCAGAGGGACTGTGTTTTAAATCCTCCTGGCCTACTTCACAGAAGAGCATTTCCAAGCCTGAGGCACACATTCCCAGCTCCGAGGAGCATGGCTTGGCCAGTGGCAAGAGCTGGCAGGGACTGCAGAGAGACAGAAAGGGACAGGGGAATGACATTTCTGCATTTAATGCAGGGGTCTGGAAGGTGCTTTCAGTGGATGTCAGGAGCTGAAGTGTTTTTTCAAGGTGCTTCTTGATACTCAAGGAGAAAAGCTCTAAGTTCTTGAAGAAAGGCCCCTTTGGCTAGTCCTTCCCAGCCCCTGGTCCTTACTGTTAGCCCAAGGGAGGCATGCACATGCCAGGAATCCTGCAAACAAGCCTTGACCTTCCAAATTACAAGTACAGTTCAGCCTGTATAAAAAGGACAGCAGTGGGATGGCAGAATTGAAGTTCCAGCCATCACACATGCTGAGTACATTGAGAGAATGTCAGAACCTAAAATTAAAAGATCCAGTTTAATTTATTCTGCAAGACATCTTGCTGCATCTGTGAAGCCATCCAACTCTCTCAGGGCAGGGTTATGGAGACAGAACCTGACATCTGCAGCAGCAGGAGAAGACAAACTGGAGAAAGGTCAGGATGAAATATTATTTTCTGAGCGAATTCAGCATAGGAGCTTTTCACTCCAGAAAGTTCACGTGTCTTGGTTTCTAAGCTGGGTCTTAGCGCTCTGGTCAAGACACATTCAGCCAAAGGCCTTGAAAGGCACTTATCTCCCATAATGTTAGATGTCTACCACACAGCAGCTGAGACAGTTGTCTGGACTCCTTTATAAGCAGTGAAGAGAAAGAGACACATCTGGAGTGTGATTCATCTCGGCTATTTCAGCAATCTACCTTCCAGTCAGGTGAATCATGCCCTAGAAATTACTATTGCTCTGTGTTTAACTGGGTGATGCAGAGTTTACACTTCCAACACCTTATATTCTTCCCATCTACAATTTGACCATTGCTAAAATGGGATAAAAAAGAACTGGATTTAACAATAATAATCTCAATAGGAATAGTCACATATTAAATCACACTCTCCCAGACATAATAGTTTTCTGTATGGTGAAGGTTTTTCGGAAATTAAATTGTTCTCTGCTCCTACCAGAAGAATTCACAAAATTCTTTCAAATTGGCAATGAGGACCTAGGTATGTGGGAGAAGTGTCCTGCCCGTAAGAAGAGGGAGGCAGGTAGAAGAAACACAGCAAGTGACACATACATTTGGTTTCACATACCCTGAACACTGCCTGTCTTCATATGGAAGTCCTAGTTCCTACTAAAGTCAATTATTCTTGTCAGCTGGTTGTTCAAAGTAAAGAGCCCGAAGAGAAAATTTGTTGATGCTTTCACCACAT